TTGCTGATTTTTTTAAAAATGCCAGCTGGGGTTTTGAGAGGAATTACATTAACTCCAATTAATTTGGGATTATTGCTATCTTAACAATTCTATCTTCCAATCTATGAACATTGGGTGTCTGTTTTAAACCTTCCTGAATTTCTCTCAAGAATGTTAGTTTTTAGTTTACCTCAGGCTTCACCTGTTAATTTTATGCCTAGATATTAAAGTTGCCCAAAGTGACCTCAAATTAGCTGTCCTGCCTCAGCCTCCCCAGTAGCTGGAGTCACAGACAAATGCCACCACTCCAGGTTATTTAGTTCCTTCTGATGCTATTTTAAGTGGAATTGTTTTTCATTATTGGGTTGTTCATTGCTAGTGTATAGAAATACAGCTGATCTTTGTGTAGTCATCTTGTATCCTGCAGTCTCTGCTTATTAGCTATAATAGTTTCCATGGATTACCTAAGGTTTTTGTATATAAATTTGTGTTATCTGTAAGTAGGATTGCTTCTTCCTTTTCAGTCTTCTGCCGTTCTTTTTCTTAATTGCCCGGACTAGAACCTTTAGTATGATACTGAATAGAAGTGGTGAGAGCAGACATCCTTGTCTTTTTCTTGACCGTAGGGGAAATGTGTTGAGTTTTTCACCATTATGCGTGAGCTTAATGGTTCAGTTCATCATCAAGTTAAGGAAATTACTTCTACTTTGTTGAGTCTTTGTTTTGCGTTATGAAAAGGTGTTTAATTTTAAGTGGCTTTTTCTGTATGCAGGGAGATGATCAAACTGGGTTTTTTTCCTTTGCTCTTATCTGTACAGTGCCGTTGTTTTTGCACACTGAGCTAGTTTTGTGGTCCTGAGACGAATCCCACTGGTCATTCATTATCTCTTCTACTGACTAAGCAAATGTCTGCCAAGTACAGAGCCATTTTCTCCAAAGCTCTAATAATTAGGTAATATTTATACAGTGCAGATTTACACGCACACTGCAGAGGGGTGGTAGACCTGGGGACGTGAGCGTCATTCACACTAATGTGCTGTCTGTGAGGTGGGAAGGACAGGGTCACTGACCTCCCAGGCAGATGTGCAAAGCCGCCCTAGTGCCCCTTGCAGGCTGTGACCTTTGAGCCCCCTCTCGTGCCTCTGCCTTGTGTCCCTGCCAGCACTGCCACCTCCAGACACGGCCTGAGAAACGTGCAGGAGGAGCAATGGCTGCTGCAGTCCTTGCAGCCCGGCCCCAATTAAGTGGGGATGGACTGAGAGGCAGCACCCTTCCTTCCTGCTAGTCATGCTAGGGCTGGTTTGGGCTTCTCCCCACCTGATTACAGAAGTAATTCATGCTCATCTACATGGAAAATGTAGAAAATGCAAAAAATTAAAAAGCACCCTAATCCCACAGATAGCACTGAACATTTTGATTTGTGGCCTTTCACGTTCTCCCTTTTCTATATTTTTCCAAGGTGGGTTTTTCTACTTTATAACCTATTTCCGTGTAGCAGAATTTAATGTACATTGTCCTATTTCAGTGAGTACCCTACCAAATCATTTCTTATCACTATGTAACCCAGGCTGGCCTCTTTGCAGTGATCCTCCTGCCTCAGCCTCCCAGTGCTTGGATTACAGGCTTATACCACCTCACTGGGCGTTTTTTGTTTTGTTTTGTTTTTTTTGAGACAGGGTCTCTTCAGTCTGGCCTTGGCTCAGGCTGCCCTTGAAGTTGCAGCAGTCCTGCCTCAGCCTCCTAAATGCTGGGACAACAGGCATGTGCTGCCAAGCCCAGCCTAATATATTTTATTAGTTTTTTGGCTTCTGCTTTGCTTAGGGTTTTTTTCTTTTTCCTTTCTGGTACCAGGGATCAAATTCAGGATCTTGTCAGTCATGTGTGGCACTGCTGATCTATTTTAAAATTTACATTTTTCATCTTTTTTTTTGTGGCACTGGGGATCAAACTCGGGAACTTGTGCTTGCAAGGCAGGCAGAGTGCTGCTGAACTAAATCGCCAGCCCCTTGTTTTTCATCTCAAGTTGAAATCTTGGGGTTTTTTGTTTTGTTTTGTTTTTCATTTACATGAAAGTTTTTGGGTGTGGGCATTTTATTTTCCAAAACTACCATTTTGATATTTTTTTGTCTGTCACTTTGGCAGATGTTTGTTCACCCTTACAAATTAAATTACCCCACTCTAGCCTTTTGTTGTTGCTGTTATTCACTTGGATTAACTCTATTAATGACCAAGTTCTTAGTATCTCAAAGCTTTAATAGTTTGTATTTCTTACACTTCCCACTGTTAGTCCTCTCCCCCCACCCTAATACTTGCCTTCTTTGGGCACACTTGTCCCATTGTTTGGTTTGGTTTGTTTTTTTGAGACAAGGCCTTGATATGTAGTTCAGGCTTGCCTTGAACTCTTGGCAGTCCTCCCGAGTACTGGGCTTACAGGTGTGCACCACCATGCCCAGCATATCCATCGTTCTTGCCATTTTCTGGTTTTGTTTATTTGGGACAAAGTCTCACCGTGTACCCCAGGCTGGCCTCAAATTCAGAGATCCTCCTGCCTCAGCCTCTCAAGGGATAGGATTACAGGTATGCACTACCATGCCTGGTTTCTTGACATTTTCTGAACCAGCTCTGGAGGTCTTCCTTCATAGTATTATTTTATTTATTTACTTACTTATTTTGGCACAGTGATCAAACTCAAGACCTTGCTCTTGCGAGGCAGGCGATGGAACCACTGAGCTACATCCCCGGCCCCCTTCACAGTATGTTTATGGTGACAACTGCTGCCCGATGGAAAGGCAGGTTTACAAAAACATCACCAAGTTGTCTTTATCTACCTTATTCACTGTGTGACTTCTAGCTCTTCCCCCAAGTCAAAATGACTGAAAAATAAACATTTTGAATCACTTCCGGACAGCACAAGACACTCACGAAAGTGGACTTCCAGAACTGCTTCTGAAAGTGGCCAAGAAAACCAGGCATGGTGGTGGTGCACTTGTAATCCTAACCCTTGGGAGGCTGAGGCAGGAGGATCACTGTAAGTTTGAGACCAATCTGAGCTACATGGTGAGACCTTATCGCAACAAACAAAAAACCAGAAAGTGACAATGATGTTCAAAGCAAGAGTATTTTGAAGATTAATGACGTGTCTTTAATAAATTTTTTTAAGCATTCACCTGGGTGAGGCCCTGGGTTCAATTCCCGGTACCGCCCAAAATATACAAGCACACATACACTGCACTGTTCAGTCACACCATGTACCTATTCCCGTGGGATGCATCTTGGATTGCCTCTCTGATGTCCTCTTACGCAGTCTGTTCCTAGCAGGGCTCTCCTGAAGTTCCCGGCCTCCCCTCCTCCCTCCACCTCAGGGTGCATCTGACTTCCCACCGGGCTCCCTGTGGCTGAAGGATTAAAACCTATTTATCAAGTCATTCCCCAGCCTTCTAGACCCACACCCACACCCCCTGCTGAACCGGGACCACTGCCATCCTGGAGCACACAGGCCTCCTGCCAGGGTCAGTGCTCTTGTGCCCCGAGGAACCTTCTCTGAGCCAGCTAGTGGTGGCCGTTACCCCAGACTGTCCTTCCCTCCTATTTCCCTCGCACTTACTCCATGCATCTCTGCCGAGGCATTTTATCTCACATGCTCTGAAATCCGGCTTTCACACTTCTGTGATAGCCTGCTCCTGGCTACTCACAGCATGTTTTGTTCTAAGTTGCCCCTTTTAACTTCCAGGGACCTGTGAGGTTTCGCCTAATTGCTCTCACGCAAACACTAAAGTCACTACAGTTTTAGGCACACTAACGTGACTGGTAAATGCCTCCGGCCGGAGCACCAACCTCATCATCCACCAGAAGACACACCGGGGAGAAGCCCTATCAGTGTAAGAGCTCAGCTCCCATCCAGCAGCAGCCGCCACACGGGAAAGCCCTACATGTAGCAAGTGCAGGAGGACCTTGAACTGAGCCAGAGCGGCCTGAAGCCCTGGGTGCACCAAGTGCAGGAAGGTCTTTTCAGTGCAGCTTGGCCTTCATCTGCCACCAGACTGCACCATGGAGAGGAGGTGGGGACGCAGGACAAGCGAAAGCCCCAGAGGCACCAACTCAATGCGATACACGACAGATAGAAACCCTCACTGAGGGCGGAACACCCACGTCAAGGACCTGAACCTCAGTCCAGAAATACTGGTGTCCTATCTAAGGGAACAGGTGAGGCGATCCCTTCGCTAACCATGAAGTGCTGGGTTACAAGTGGCCCCCACATCAGCACACATGCTTTTTATGGAGGCCCAAACAGGAAGAGCCAAGAATGGAGATCTAACTGGGCGCAGACTTCCGGTCTGCCTTGTCTCCCACGCAGACCAGTGTTGTGCACTTGCGGACACCGAATGCCTGCACCTCTAAGACTATATTTGCACTACATGGCTTGATGGCCCCAGCATTTTTCTGGGTGAATCCTTACATGTGTGCACCCTCCAGAACGTGACTGTTTCCTTCAGCCACTCCAGTTAGTCCTTACTTGGGACCATTAAAAGGGCCCACCGGCAAAATGAGAGTCAAGTCTTTTCTGGAGCCCAAACACCTTGCCTAGAGCATCTCCAGCTGCTCCGCTCTGCCCCAGAAGCATGGATCTTAAAGGGGGGGATGAGCACAGGGTTGAAGGAACAGAACGTTAGGGTGAAGCCCAGAACTAGGAAAAGTGAGCCACTGAGGAGGGTGGCGGCAGTTACCACATCAGACGACTCTCACAGGACTCTGGACGGGTCAGGTTCTCAGTGCTCCTGAGCCCTGGCTGTATTCATTCTGTCCTGGGTTGCCAAACCTCCCAGATTGAAATTGTCCGAATTGGAGGGCTCCTTTTCCTAGGTTCTCTCTGGCTAAGAATGTATAAATGTCTGTAAAAAGCAATGTTCAAGATTTCTTTCCCAGGTTCATCCCATACAGAGCAGACCTTACTGGTCCTGCCCCCGAGGCCCCCACTCACCACCCCACAAGGAGCCAGTTCCCTCAAGAAAGCAGACAGCTGGTTGTCAGATCATCTTTTTATTGAAATACATTTTTCTTAGGCTTCTTATTCTTAGCTCTGTGGGAGAGGGAAAAAGATCCCATTAGTAAAACAAAAAGATCAAGTCTCCACCCTCCCGCCTGTTCATCTCCACGACTGCATCAGTTGTCCCTAGCTCTGAGCCCTCATAACCAAGCAGAACCAGTCACTTACAGCCGGGCACTCCACGGCCCCGGTGTTGATGTCGTCTATGATGTCGTGAGGGTGCCGGCCGTCCACATTGCAGCCCACAGACTGGGCGGTCCCCAGGATCTCTTTAATGGTTCCTACAGTCAGAGGTACATCAGTGGGCCCCTTCCTAGACTCCCCACAATCCTCAGGTGGCTGGGTCAGGATTTTCAGGTTTCATGGTAGGTGAGAGAAATGCCAACCATCCCTAATGCAAATGTAAGGCTCTACCCCAGGCACAAGAATGCTGCCCACTAAGACAAAACACCCCACACATCGGTGAGGGTGGTTAAACATCGCCTGCTCTTACCAGAAAGTTCTCTGGCTAAAGACCGGTGCCGCATCTGTCGGGCAATGTTGACAATCTCGTCAAAAGTGATATTTCCACTGTGTTTAACTGTAGAATAGAAGGAACAGTGAAGATTTTGTCACAGTCCGAGGCCAGGAGATCACAGAGCAGTCTTGCACTTGCTGGGCTGTTCCCATGCTTTCGGCACAGAGTCGCCCACATGGAGAACAACCCTGTTTCCTTAGCTGGGGTCACTATCAGCTCACCACTGGATTGCACCAGCCAACAGAGAACTGGTCAGGTGCAGTGGCGGGTGGCTCGGGAAACCACACCTTCCACCCGGGCGCCAATCCACATGGGAGGGAACTTGTTTTAAGCCATGAGCTTAAATCACCGTGATTAAGCCCCCAGTGTACTGGCCCGGCCTAAGTGGGCAGGACCTGTCCCCACAGGGCTGGGGAATGGCACATGCACTCTTACTCAGGCCACCCCGGGTCGCATTAAAGTGAAACAGCAAAAGTATTAAACACTGGGTGTGCAACACTGTCACAAACCACTCTGAAAGCAACCCAGTGAAAAGCCAACTCACTGTTTTTCTGCTTCTTTCTGTCTCTTGGTGGCTCCTTGAGGGCTTTGATGATCAGGGCAGAAGCAGAAGGCACCACCTCAATCTGCAGAAGAGATTTTGATGTGCAAAAGTCTACCCCGCCTCGGGTGAACAGCACCGCTCCAGAAGGACAAGCAAGGCTGGCGACAGAGCCAGCCGTCGGGGACCAGGGGACAGACGCTGGGCTTGCACTACAGGACCCCAAACTCACTCCTAGCCCAGGTGACATCAAGTGGCCTGCCCAATGCCACACATGGGTGAGGGGCTGGCATGTGAACCTATGCCTCTGACCCAGGTCCCCACTCTGGACAAAGCCTCGCACCACTTCTCCACGGGCAGCCAGACCCACCATCCGAGCTCCTCAAACTGAGCCCAGGCAGCACATACCTGGGCCTGTCTGTTCTGAATGGTCAGCTTCACCGTAATCCGCAGACCCTTCCAGTCACCAGTTGCCTTGGCGATGTCATCACCCACCTTTTTCGGAGACTGTAGAAATAAAGGCAGGTGACCACCATGCCCAAAGAGCCACTGAAGCCCCTACAGGTACCTAGATAACAGAGGCGCCAGCACCACCTTAGTAAACAGGGAAACGAGGCTGGGGCATTGGGTCTTGTCCAGCACTGGGTCCCCAGTCTCTTACTCCTAAGAACCTCTGCAGTAGTTTTCAACCCCACCTACCCTAGAATCACCTAGGGAGCTTTAGTGACACCAGAGTCCCACGTCAGACCAACCCAAGTCCAGTGGCAGAAAGAGATCTACGCCTTTCCTATTCTAAGGAGCCTAAACAGCGGCCCCTCGCCCTTGAGGCCAGGCGAACTAAGTAAGGGCCAAGGGAGCAGAGGAGTGTTTGGCAAAGGGATAACAAACTGGAACAGGACCGCTGCCTAAAAATGACATCTATGGGTCGAGGATTTAGCTCAGAGACACCGTGCCTGCCTCATCGCAAGCGCAAGGTCGAGTTCGATCGCCGGTACACACACACACACACCCCTGTGGACATTAAGGCCATGCAGTTTAAAACGGGGAAGCAGGCATGCGAGGCTGATGACCCATAAGGATTAGGTGAAGGTGGGCACAGCACCCACAACGTGGCTGCCAGAACCCCCGCCCCACTTCACCCAAAGGTGCCGTGCCCGTCCCCCCACCAGTACAGAGGCCCAGGAGCGGGCTGCCCAATGTCACTGAGTCCAAGCCGCTCCTAACTCCAGAGCCCTCACGCCTCGGTAACGCTAAGACCCAAAGCAGCAGTTCAGTAAGTTACGTGAAGTTCTGAGTTTTTACGCGAGATCCTTGTATGGTGGCCAGGGCCCGGCAATGGCTCGGGCACGGTCGTCCTTGCACAAACCAGAGTCGAACTCTGCTCTCACGCAGAGATAGGAATGACCCCAGGCGGAATTACTTACCAGACCCAGAGGGCCGATCTTGGGGGCCAGGGCGGACGTAGCGCCGACTTCGCCACCGGTGCACCTCAGGTACACTGGGAGAAAGGGAAGGGTTAGAGCCTCTGCGGAGGGGTCGGGGGCGCAGTCCCCTCCCGCACCAGCCAGTGCCTCTCCAAGCAGCACCGAGCCAAGGCCGGAGGCGCAGGAGCGCGGGCACGAGCCTTACCCTAGGCGTGCGGTCCTCCCTCCCCATTTACAAGTGGGGCAGCTGAGGCCCGGGAAAGGAGAAAGCCCTGTCCCGTCTACACAGCGCCGGGAGGATCCTAGGAAACGGGGCCTTGGAGCCCGGTACGGGAAAGGCACGCGGCTAGGGGCCGCGGGAAGGAGCGAGGCTCCATCCGCAGCCCAGGCTGCAGCTAGGGCACGCACCGACTTTGACCTCGTTGGGGTCGAACTTCGGCGGCATGGTGGAGGCGGCTGGTGTCGGATGAACCCGGATTCGGGACGACCGAGGAAAGTTGCACCCTAGCCTCCTCCTAGCCGAAAGCCAAAAGACCGGAAGATTTCCCGACCACGCCGGATATAGGCAGTAAAGCACCACTCTCGCGAGAACAATCGGCTCCGCCCACCCTCTGAGCGACGCCCTTGTCGCCATGTTTCTTATGGGTAGATGCCTGAAGCTGGCTGCCGGGAAGTCTGGTACCGCGGTGAGCTGGGGCTAGGGATTCGGAAAGGTCGTTCAGGGCACTTAGCTCAAGAAGCGTCAGAGAAAAAGGGGCTTCTGAGATCGTGGGCCTTGCTGATCCCTATATTCCCTATCTAGAGGGTCACTCCGGAGTGCCAGGCCCCCAAGCCCAGAGCCCCGCCCATCCTTTGAGGGGTCTGCAGCCCCACACCGAGACGTTAGTGTTTGGCAACTACAGCGCCCTTCTAACCTCTTGGTGATGTGTGCATTTTGGTTATCCACGTTATCTATTCGCGTCTAGATTCCGCGGTATCTAGAGTCTCCGACTTAGTGGTCTTGATTTGCCTGACTTTTTGAGATTCTGAGTTTTGGTTCCAGCTCCTGCGTTTCGAGGAGACCAGACTCCAGCTCCACCGGCCCGTGCCAGGGATCAGCGATCCTGCGCCCATGACCAAGCCCTCGGAGTGACCAGCCTGCCTTTGGGTCCACAAGAAGGTCCGAACTTCCAGGACCTCACCGTCCCTATAGCCGGGTCCGCCACTGCCCAGCTCGACCGGAGGATGGGTGTGGTTCTCCGCATCTGAGCTGCACGTCAGGAGAGGGCATGAAGGAGGGTCAGAAATCGGAAAGCAGATTGAAAAGAATTGATTGGGAGGGATGGGGGAGCCACGGTCTCGGGGAAGAGGTGGGAGCGCTGGACATCAGGGAGGGGCAGCAAACGGGAAAGCGCTGTCATCACGGAGGGGTCAGGGAAGCTGTTCCACATCCCTGCAGGCAGGTGGGTGGCCTCCACGCCCTAAGCGGGCTCTGCAGGCCTGGCAGCCTCCCCAGACAGTCCACTCCCCTGTGAGCTCTACCCATCCTTCTAAGGACCTGTGTGTGTCTTCTCCGTAGTTCCTGTAAGTACTTAGTCCCTGAACCAGTGTTTGGCACAGGTGCAGTCCTTTCTCTGTAGCTTTCATTTACTGAGCATTCATATGGGCCACGGCTGTGTTGTGGGCTTCACATTCGTGAAACTATTGGATTCTCACAGAGCTCAATGTTACTCTTTCCAGTTGAGGAAACAGGCTCAGAGGGAAACAGAAGCGACAGTTGATGGGTGGCAGATCTTGGACTCAAACCATGCTAGATGGTTGTTTTCTGTCCCATCGTTGTCCTCTGTCGAGCACAGGTCATTGCAGGTACCATACAGTCCCTGGGCAGGCAGTGAGCGCCTGGCTTCTGAACTCAAGATGGCGTGCTTGTTATGTGCTAAGTTATTTGAGTACCAAGGAGTTGGGCGAACTCACAGGATCAGGACCTGAAAGACGAGGGTTCCAGGCTGGTTTTGCTGCAATCCAAGCTGTGTAACCAGATTGCTGAGCTTAATGGGTGTCAGTTTCTCAACTCGACACAGGGCTGTGGTGAGAAACAAATGGAGTAATAGCCATGAGGGTGGTCAGTGCACGAGGATTGCTCTTTAGTTCTCAGTTAACTCGTAGATCTCTTTGGGTACCAAGTCATGACTGACTGGTGCTGCTGTGACAGTGTTTCAGGGGCTCAAAGTGACCTAGAAGCTGAGCCTGGCAGTCAGCATCCTTGGCAAGCAGCTGAGGAAATGTCCCTGAGGTGGAGGAGGTGGGGCCCAGAACAGGAAAGGGTAACGCCAAGGTGTCACCATGGGTCTGCGGCAAATGTAGGCCCAAAGCCAGGGCCCCTGCCTGCCTGTGGGCTCCTTCCACCAGGTCCTACTGTGTACTGTTGCAGCAACAGAACGGCAGCGAGCGTGGGGCCTAGGACGCTGCTGGGCCGGGCGTCTCCTGCACCACACTCACCAAGCTCACTGTCCCCAGAACCAGCCGCAGGCCCAGTGTTGCTGTGCTGCCCGTCCTGGGTGTCGGGGCTGTCACAAACCCTCGGGTGCTAACTTTTCTCCTGTGCCGCAGAGTCCGGCAAAAAAGGAAGGATGCCTCTCTTCTTCCGGAAGCGGAAACCCAGCGAGGAGGCTCGGAAACGCCTGGAGTACCAGATGTGTCTGGTGAGGCGGAGTGGGTTTCCCCGGCCCTCGTGTGACACAGCTCCCCACTGCCACGCTCACTTCCGCCTGCCGAGTGCACTCATCCTTCCTGGCTGGGTTCTCCCCGCTGCTGCTGGGCCCAGGGGTCACTGGGCCTCCCTCAGGATGGACTGGAGAATCAGGCGGTGCCTGTGGTCCCTCGCCACTCCTGAATTCAGTGTGTTTCTTTGCCTGGTTTGTCCAATCCATGATGTTTTATTTGAAAAGTTAAAAAAAAAAAAAAAAAGTGCTCAGGGCTGAGAGTGTAGCTTAATGGTAGATTTCTTGCTTAGCTTGTTCAAGGCCCTGGTTCTGTCCCCAGAACTACACAATAAATAAATAAACAAACAGGTAAATAAATTAATAGACCCATTCTTTTTTTTTTTTTTTCCCTTAGGCAAAAGAAGCGGGAGCAGATGACATTCTTGACATCTCTAAATGTGAGCTCACAGAGGTAAACTCAGGGCTGTGTGTGGGCTGTGAAATTGATCTTTCCAGTTTTCCTAGATCGAATGTCCCCACAAATGACAGATGTGGACCGGGGCTTTAGAAAAGCCAGGAGTACTTATGAGAGATGTTTCCTCAGATTCCATTCTTATCTAAAGGAATTGAGATGATCTTTTGGCCTCAACATCATCTCTAAGAGAATCATTAGAAAACGCACCCGGAGATTCCTGGGGTGCTGGAAGAGGGAGGATTCTGCAGCCCCTGACTGGGTCCTGACGGGGACCCGCAGGTGGGGTGGACAGGGCTGGCTGAGGGCTGAGCTCATGCCCTGCCCCGCTCCCTACGCGTTCCCAACTGAGTGCTCTCTGCATCGGTGCTCAGCCCTCACCCTCCCTGCCCATCTCTCTCACATCGGTGCCACGCACAGGACAGAGTAAAGGCTGCAGGAGACGAGGCGCTGATTCTTCTGTCTTCCCCTAGATTCCATTTGGGGCTTTTGCGACATGCAAAGTTCTTCAGAAGAAGGTGAGCCAGGTCTCGGCGTTCAGGGAGTTGCACATCTAAACCACACGGGGCCGGGGGTTTAGCTCAGTGGCACCGCACCTGCCTCGCAAGTGCAAGGTCCTGAGTTCAATCCCCGGTACCAAAAAAAAGGATTGAAAGCACATGGGGGAATGGCAGGAGCTCTCCCCCCGGCTCGGCCGCCTCCCTTCTCTCTGGCTGTCACCCTGTCAGCCCACACCTGATCTGCGCAGCTAGGAGAGCAGGCTGGGGCGGAGACAGCCTGGGGTCCCCCTGGGCTCTGCCCTTCGCTGGCTTCATGAGTTGGGGAATGTCCTTAACTCTAAGGAGTTTTGGAGACAGAGGGATTTGATGCCGATGCCATAGCAAATGCTTACTTACCCCAGCGTGAGTGGTAACAGACACTGTGCTCATTTCACTGCGGCTGCTCAGGAGATGAGGGAAAGGCCGACATTTCGGAGGAGCAGTGCAGCCCTTGCACCTTTGGGTGCAGTGGGTCCGTGTACGCTTAGCGAAGCCCTCTAGATGGAGACAGGTGAGAAGGAATCCCAGCAACAGTGTAGCAAGCGACTCGTCCTGGGAAGTATTGAAGCAGCAGTGGGTACCTAACGGGATAGCAGTGGACCGTGCGCCAGCCCTGGGCTCCTTTAATCGTCTTGACAGCCCTCAGAGGCAGCTACTTTATTATTCTCTACTTTTCAAGATGACACTGAGGCTGGGGAAGGTTAAGGTCAAGACCCCTGGCCAAGTATAGTTGTGCACAGCTGTAATCCAGCACCCAGGAGGCTGGGGCAGGAAGACCACTGCAGGTTGAGGCCAGTCTGGGCTACACATGCGTTCGAGGCCAGCCTGAACTACATAGCAAGATCCTATCTGGTGGGGGAAAAAGGCTGATCTTTTCTAGAATGGAAGGTAGAATTAGACCTCTAGAACCCCTTTAATCCTTGAAATTCCAGATCTTAAGGTCATCTGCTCCTACACACAGAAGTTTCATGATTTTCCCCAGCGGCCCCCGTTGTGTGTCCGGCCAGCAGAGAGGAGGGATGCGTGAACACTGCGGGGCCGCTGGCTCACCCCTGACCTGCCTGCCCTCTTCCATGGCCTAACTTTGCCTCATCTTTGCCGCCCAGGTGTTGATTGTGCACACAAACCAGCTCACCTCCCTGCTGCCCAAATCCTGCAGCCTCCTGAGCCTGGCAACCATCAAGGTACTGGGCTCCCTCCTGGTGGCGGGGACCCTGTGTGGTTTCCCAAGTGGCAGCCGGGCCCCACACAGCCTGTCAGGTGGGCCCGAATGGAAGTGTCCGTCTGGGATTTGATCGGCACGGCGTCCACTGGGTGGTTTCCAGAACCCCGGAAAGAAAACCCTAAAACTCATGGCTGCCAAGGCGGCCCACAGCAGGGAAGGAGAGGTCCCAGGCAGGGGCAGGAGGGCCCCAGGACAGCTTGTGACCAACCTTGGGAAGACTCTGATCTGAGTCGGCTGGGCATAGCCACTTGGTGTACAAGATGCCGCCCTGCGTTGGTTCTGCACCAGTGGTGCCCTGTGAGGGTGGGGACGGGAGTGAAGACTCGTGGTGTTCTTACGCTCTCCAGCTCTGGCTGGCAGGCTTGCTGTTTGTGGTTTGGGTCAATGGGCTTTATTTGTTTGGTGCTGGGAATGGAACCCAGGGCCTCCCCCATGGCAAGGGTGCACTTTAGCTCTGAGGACATGCCCAGCCCGCGGTATTTACACACTGAAAGAAAAGGGAACATTTAAAATACATTTTTCAAGCCAGGCATGGTGACCAGGGCTGTAATCCCAGCACTAGGGAAGCTGAGGC